CATTCAACAACAGTTAAAAAAATCTAATATTTCAAGCAATGATTGTATTTGTGCTAGGAATACCGTTGCGTTTACATTTTCTAGTGACGTTTTGTGTTTTTCTATGTTTATTCTCAACTGAGCCTAATGGAAAATCATTCTCGAAAATGTCCTCTGTCGCTGATGATGTCATCATACCAAAAGTTTTTATATGAAAGTAGATATCAAATATGTTATCTTTATCTCAATAATCTCATTTATTCAAGATGATATCGATAAAACAAGTATTTTATGTCAGTGGACTATGTCTTTTATTAATTTTATTGTATCGAACATTCATCGTATTTTCACCTGACAAGGATTTGTTTGAAAAATGTTCAACGTCTCATGACCATTCGCTTAGTTTGAACAATGAACGTTTGAATGCATTGCAAACAATATTGAAATATAAAACAGTTTCAATAAATATTCGAAATCAAAATTATGATGCACTACAACAATGTCGATCTTATATTAAACAACGTTATTCAAATATACTTGAAAATAAATTTGTTGAAATAAATGATATTGCTACATATTCAATATTATATACAATAAAAGGAACAGAAACCAGGTTAAAACCTTATTTATTATCAGCGCACATAGATGTAGTACCGGCAAATATTGACAAAACGAATGGTGAGCAATGGAAACATGCACCTTTCGATGCTGTGATTGATGGTGAATTTATATATGGACGAGGCACGTTGGACGACAAAACAACCGTCTTTGGAGTGATGGAAGCAGTACAGGTGAGAGATGAATCCTTTTTAACGATTCTATTCTCAGCGAAATATTCATTCTGATGAGAGATTAAACATTTGCAGTATTAATACGATTTTTTATCATAGATTTGTTTGTTTTTTAAAACATTTCATGTTGTGAATGTTTTAGGAATACATTAGAATTAATGGTCAGCCCCGTCGAACATTTTATGTGGCATTAACTCATGATGAAGAGGTAAAATCAAGAAATAAGTTGAGTTAAAAGTTTTTCCTACGATTAATCTCGCTTGCTTTAGATTGGCACGGATGGTGCAAATGGAATTGCTAATTATTT